GTGTCCACTAGAGCCTTATACTCCTGTGGGTCTGACGTTCCAGGCCATCGAATCCACACAGTCCAGTAAACCCGGTTGTCCCTTTCCTCCACCTGGCTGGAGGCAGGGCCCCTCTGATACTGGTCATAGTATTCGTTGTTCACTCGTAAATGTGAATCAAAAGTCCCTTGATTAAGATCGGAAGTAAAATTAGCCCTCTTACTCTGTCTTGGGAACTGCTCACCGGAAACTGGAGCTGCAATTTTCCTAGGAGAACCGCCTTTTGTAATAGTTTTTCCTTGGAGGTCATACACCCGTGCCTCTGGGGTCGAGGTAGATTTCTCATCCTACTTCCTCGTGTCCTCTCCGTGGTTATGCAGGTAAAACCACAGGGTACCCCATGGTGTGTATCCTCTATATCCTCTCTCTTGAGCAGGACATTGACTCCTAATGGCTGAGATACTGGTCCGTGCAGGTGGGGAGTAGGACAGATCCTCTCTGAGTTGTTGGAACTCTCGGCACAGTTTTTCAGACAGTTTTTCCACAGCCAAGACACAGGCCCGTAGGGAGGAAGAGATACTTTTTTCTTCATATTCCTGGTTGTCTAGCCACTTCATCCACCATTGGTGCCTCGTCGTCTTTCCAGGCTAGTATTGCCAACGAGTTGGAATACGATGCTGGTGCGCTCCGTACCACCTTCCGCCACATGGATTGTGTGCACCTGACTTCATCTGGGTCTTTGGTTAACCGCTCATCATTCAGGTCACTGTAAATCACCTCCAGCACGCCTAATTCCCTCAGGTACTGGATACCTTTCTCTACGGTGGTCCATTTGCCTGGGCAGTATATAACACCTTCCTTGAAGGGATACCTTTCCTTCATGCTTGACAGAAGTCGCCTCCAGAGGCTGAGTGTTTTTGCCCCTTTTCCAATAGCTTTGTCAATGCCCCCTTCCCCAGAAAGAGATCCCAGCTGCTTGGCTTCCTTACCCTCTAAATCCAGGCTACTGGCCCCGTTATCCCAGCATCGGAGCAGCCAGGTGATGATGTGCTCGCCTGGATAACGACTGAAATATTTTCTCATATCTCGCAGCTCACTCAGGGATAGGGATCGGGTGGTCACCATCTCATTTACGGGTTCTTCCTCCTCCGGTTCTCGTGATGGCCCTGGTTCATCTTCATCCCTTACTAAATGAGCTGATTTTCTTGTGTATTTTTAGTTCTGTATAGGGGCAACTGATACCGGTGTGGGCTGGTTCTCTGGTTTAGCCACAGTGCCCATCACCGGGGTTGGAGTAGCCGCAGTGCCCATGGCTGTGGTTGGAATGGCCGCAGTGCCTGTGACTGTGGCTGGGGGGGGGTCGGGGGCGGCGTTGTTATCAGATCCAGAGACCTTCTCTCTCTTTTGAGGGTACTGAATAGTGTTGACCACAGCTTGATAGGCATGGGCCAGCCCCCAGCATGTTGCAATGATTTGTGTCTCTCTGGGGTTGCCAGGGTGACAACATACTTTTTCCAAATACTTTACTAGTTCTTCAGGATTCTGCATTTGTTCAGGGATGAAGTTCCAAAACACCGGAGGTGCCCACTGTCCTAGGTACTTGGCCATACTATCCCACACACCCTGCCACTCATAACTCTCCAGCCTTGGAGCAGATCTCTGGATGATATTCTTAAATTGCTTACTAACCTTTGTCAAAACCAAAACAACATTCCCAAGAAGTATCAATAGAAGTATCTTAACTGCCCAGGGATGTTCAAAATACTGAGAAGTTTTTGTAATGAAGGAGGAAACATCATAGAAGAAGGTAGTGAAGGTGCCATTCTGCATTTCCTGCACAACAAACCTCTCAGAGGAAAAGGTATAATTGCTAACTTTCTCCATGAGGTGGTAACCCAAAGTACAATAATGACTTGTGTATGAAACCCAGATATCAAGCAATGCTCAAGGTCACGGTTTTGATAAGGAACTATTCAGAACTTGCACCGTTCCTTAGCCTGAAGTGTTTGGCTCAACATACCGGTCGTAACACAAGGCTCATCATTTTGGATAGCGGTGAATATTGCATCAACAGCAATTTTGTGTAAAAATAGCATATTCTTCTTGCTTTCCCTTACAAAAGTTTACTTTTGTTGCATACAGATGGAGATTCAATGTTTTGAGATTCAATATAGATGTAGCCTTGTAGAAGCATTTTATAAGGTGTGGGGGGGGTAACAGCCTGAGAGTTACTAAAACCATATTGCATAATTTTAGAGTCTAAGCAATACCGAACCGATGTAAAATAAATAAGGAAGATACATTCACAGTGTTCATTTGAGACTTTGAGAGGCTGCTAAATATTTAGCATAGAAGTATTTGAGTTTTTTCCTGTCTTGAGACTATAGTATCTGGAAATGAGGGTGTGAATATGTATAGTTTGCAAAAATTTTAAGCCTTTTTTTAGTTGGAGCTATGTCCTCTTTAACATTTACTCTTGATTATTACCTATTGACAGTCACTAAAACAGAGGGTGTATATTAATGCAGGCGAGAGTTTCATTCATAGATGGTGAGCTACAACAGGATTATTTGCAAGTGCAAAGATCACTCACATGAATAAAGATTTGGTGGATCAGTGACTCCACTGATAAAATGAGTAAAATCCTTCTCCAAACACAATCCAAATATGTTTTCTTGCTACTTAACTTGCTTAATTAACTGAAAACACATAATTATTAATGAGAGCTCAGATAGGGCAGGAGAGGAAACATGCTTCTCAGTGATCAACTTGCAGCCACAACACAAAAACCAGTTCTGTGTGTGCAGGAAAAGCAACCCCCTCCTGCTACATTATTCCATTGATCTACAAACATTTACATCTCCTTTGTTAACTAGTTTTCTGTAGAAATTTCATAATCACTAAGGAACGCTCTTACAACTGCACCTCAAGAAACTTCTGTGCAGTAAACTTGGATCAGCCTAAAAAACAGGGTCTATTTCTGCCTTGAGGTCGTGTTATATGTCAAATCTGTTGGGCTTTTCTTGGACGTTCGTGATTCATTGTAAATAATTCAAACTGGATTTACAAAAGAGAAGAGGCTGTACAATGAACTAAGAACTGCATGTTACTATATCACTGACAGTCAAAACTAATAAAAGTATTTCATAAAGCCAAATCATAAAATGTTTTCACCTCCTCTTTCACATTGTTTTGTGATCTACATTCAGTATCAGGTTGATGAAAATGAACATTTTGGAGGAATTCTGTCCAACATAATAGTAAAGTCTAATTAACAAGTTCTTGTGGCTACGGCAAGAGAATACCCTCACCTGAATAAACTCTGTTATCCATACAATGAGCACTGAAACTAAACAAAGACAACATTAGTAGCTCACAAACAAGAAACACCTTTGAAGTATCACTGCAGCACCATTAACGTAAGGTGCATTCCCCTCCCATGAGTTTCTCGGCTGCAATGCACTACTTACGGGAAGCTGAGACCAAGAACACTCTATTTATTTATGTATTTATTTTAAGGACTAGGCACTTTAACGAGTTAACAAGTGTTCTGAGTTACAACAATTAATAACATTTTGAAAAGTCAGGCTCAGCTTTAAGTTTCAGGGTTTAAATCCTATCTTCAAGATACCTTATAAACACAATGCTGGTGCTGCACAATATGAGCATCTGCAGACACAATACAAACCTGGCTTTATGCACCCAATTTTTGATTAAAAAAGTGATCATCAGGTGAAGATTTGCCTTAAGAACAGTTAATGAGGAGCAGAGTTTTTTGTTTTTATTATGTACACTTATGAAAGACAGCACTAAAATATGGACTCAACCAATGAAAGATTAATAATTCACATATGTTCTGTAGGTCAGAAAAAAGGGGAATTAGATCTGAACCTACCACCACCGATGAAAACAGACTTTCTCCAGCTACCTAGTTCAGGTTATGTCAGATCCTCTAGTTGAGCATTTCTAGTATGGAAGCGCTCTCCAACAAAAATCCAGAATAATTTTGAAAGCATACTCTAATCACTTTCCCTACCTGAAAGCCTGGCTTAAATTAATGTAGAATCAACAGCGCCACTTATCCTAAAGGGGTGTTTGAAGGCCTGAGAGTGGAAAGCTGCAAGCCAGACCAGCAAGAATTCACAGGTATTTTTCCTGTGGAACATCTCCAGCCCCAATCCTGCCCAACGGTGAGATCAATTCTCTGCTGCAAAGCCACATCCTTCCAGCACTGTCACTGCAGCAGAGCCCAGCCAGTATTATAGGCACTGTCTTTCCAAAAAGGAGTATTAAGGACAACACAACCACTGGCCAGCAAAATAAGGATTACATACAACATCTGTTTATTTAAACCAAAGACAGTCCCACATTCTCCAAAGATATTACTTTTTCCTTGATCCCACTTAAATCATTGGACATTTTCTGAAAGGCTGGAACTTCTATTACAGTGCTATGGTTCATGCAGAGAAACAGAGAAACTATCTGCAACTCCACAATAGAAATGTAAAAGTATTCCACTTTGTTGGATACATTGGCCCTGGCAGCCACCAGTGGCCTCAATGCCTGCTTAACTACCTTCCCATTACTCAGAAGAGTAATTCCAAGCTCATGCATCAAAGTTCAGCCACTGCAGATCTCCACTTTGCTCTCCCCACCTCCTAGCTAAGGTGATCCTTCCAAGAGAGACAGGGAAGTACAGCAAGATGAGGTATACATAAGCCTATAGGTGGCACTCTTGCCCTGACACAACACTGAAGGACCATGAAGCGCTGGTCTTCCTTTCCCTTAGTGGGGACAGGCCCATATCAGTTAAGAAATCCACTAAAAGCATTAATTCCACAAAGCACTTTTAATGAACGTTTTTTATTTTATTGTCAACACACTTAAAACCAGAAACCTATGTTCAAAACAATTATTTTTAAGGATACTGAAATACAAAATATTTCACACAGAAGTTTGTTACTGTAACACAAACAGAAGTGAGACATAGAATACGCCAATGTGTATTATATGTGCTCCAAGTCATCCCAAGTTTAAGAACTGTACCACTACAGAATTGTCACGCAGGCTTGGAAAGTGAGCATTTGACTGTTAAGTATCACCTCTGCATTTCTAGTATTACAGATTTACTTGGAAACTTCCTAGCAGTGGACAGAGAACATGGTAATTTTGTCTTCAAGGTTTGTTTTGAAAGCACCATGACAACAGACTGTTCAAACTACTTCCTTACAAAGGGAAGTCTAAACAGAGACAATTATTGCAGTTATGGCTTTTTAGGGGTAATGTTTATTATTATCTATGACAGGTTTGTGAATATACAGTAACAAGCAAAATCAGTTATTTCCTGGTAGCTCCTCCTGGAAAGCAAAACCAGCATTGCCCATTTTAAATTAATTCTTTTTATGCTAAAGAAAGCAAACTCTCATATTCTATACAAAACATATGTGCTTGGCCAGGTACTGACCAGCTTTCCCTTCTTCTAGATTCTGTAAAACTAAACTAACCCAAACACGCAAAACTTCTTTATTGGTTAGCAGCAAAGAAGTTCTGCCAACTTTACACAATAAATAGATTTCTGCTTAATTTAAATTTCTTTCCAGAAGAGTGACATGACTAAACGAGTTGTATCAGACAGTGACACACGTATTACGCTCCATCACCAAGCCCCTAAGCTCAGTCAGAAGGGGAGAGAGGAACGGAGCACAGGGAAAGGAATGTCTGTTCTAAAATGATCGAAAGATTTACACTGCACTTCGTTTTTCTCTCAAAGGTCCCAAAGAAAGGTTTTCTACAGCTACCTCAAGGTTACTCCTCACACAAGCAACTTGGTTCAAAATTCAATTTTGAACAGCATCTTCTCCTGAAAAACTGAGACATCCCTGCAGTCTGACACTTAATGACGTTCCTTGCTCGTAACAACACACATTCGTCACTCTCCTCTCTTCATCGTTTGCTTGATAGCTTTTCATGCTTATCCTTTGTGTGCTGGTTCCTGCTTTGGTGCCTCGGAGGAGAGTAGCTGACTCTCCTTCTGGATTGAAAGCTGGGTGTATATGGGTGAATTCTGCGTTTCTTTGGTTTTTCTTCTTTCCTGCTTTTGTTTGGCTCAGGCTCCTTACTGTCTTCTTTCTGCTCACGTTCCTGGTCTTGTTCTTTTTGAGATGGTAATGTGTTTTTGATGGTATTAATAAGAAATCTTTTATTTGTACCAGCAAGGGGACATTTCAACCTGTAAAGACATATAAAAGTGATCAAAAGTCAAGATAAAAGCATCCTGAAACAAGTCTGAGATTTTAACTTCAATAATTTTAAGACAGGTTTGTGCTTTCGGCTTTCCTTGCATGCCACCTAGTGTAAACTCTCAGTACAGAAAGATATACTCAAGGTTGTCTCCATTCTCCTTTTATTTTGCTCTTCATAGAATAAAAATTATTCTACTTCAACACAGTGAAAACCCACATGATTTTCACAAGACAGTGTGTGCAGGGGGAAGCAGAGGATGACAACATATTTTAAGGCTGATGGTGCTTAACTTAGGTGTTCAGGAATCAAATATTTAGTAACATTCCAAGTCAAATCAGAATGGTTACAAGTTCATAATCTACTAAAGTCAGCATTTTTATTTAATGAACTGAGATATTCAGAAAGTAAAAGACACTCGCCTGAAGAACCCAAACAGCTGTAGCGATAAAACATATACACAAGGCATACCAGTTTTAAATTATCTTAACCACCAAACAAAATGTTTTCTTTCTTTTTCTTAAACAAAGGATACTTATCCAACTCTTCCATTGCTTCTGACCTCTTGCAGCTTAACACTTTTGCACATAGTTTATCAGCTAGTTTTAGTAAACAAGTACTGTACATTTCATTTATCTTGCTGGTATCAGATGCACTCTACTTATCCACAATTTATCATCTCTTAAAGAATGCAATAAGAAAAAACAAGTTTGAATATATTCCTGCAGTAAGCAGAAATCACTCTAAAGACTTTGTTCATAGTGGGAGCCACCGTGGTGTTTGTCCTCACAACATTTTTGAGTCTGCATGCTAATGGAGAAGTTACGGGTTTACTCTAAAAAAGCAGAGCTGTTGGAGATCACAGTGCCACTTACTGAGTCAACTACAGAGTCAATGAATCCTAACATCACAAGGTTAAGATCATCTATTCTACTTGAATATTTTCTGTAAGTGTAGAAACTATACCCTGATCATTTAAAAACCTTTGACACCTCTGAATAATCAGAGGTATCAGAACAGGAAGATGACTGTAACCAAGACCCCATCTGATTATTTAGCATACCTCATGACTTTTACTGGACATGGTATTTACCGTGGTGCTTTGCTTCAGGTCTCCCTGCTAAGCATTACTGATGTTACTAAATCCTCAAAGAACTTATGAGAGTCATTTTAGAAGTATACATTAAACAGCCACACTGTTTTATTTCTACTAGGTATTTCTTGATGCATTTCTACAGCATAACTGGTTTCTGAGTTTTCTAAACTTTCTGCATATAAATCTACACCGTTTTACTCAAATCTTGGTTAAAAAAAAAAATTTAAAAAAAAGTCCAGATCTGTATCTAGTATAATTGGTTTGTAAATTAGTAATACAGTAGATGGATAAATACTGTCTCCCTGAGTAAAAATGCAAGGCTAACATGTCAGTAGAACAGGGTTTCTACTTCAAGCTACATCAGCTATGAACGTGATGCTGAATATGCCATGGCATAGGTTACACTCAAGACATAACACAAAACAGCCAACATTTAAGTCCTCTGTATATCTTATGCCAGCATGAAACTGTTGCACCTCAACACTTCCTACCAAGGAGGGCAGCTTTCTCTTGGCTGCACCCAGGCAAAAAACTATTTCACATTTGTCTCCTTCCTCTTGCTTTTTCTTAAAAGCTAATGCACTGATTAAGCACTAATATATATATATAGCACTAGAATGAGACAATCCGCCCTATATAAATTCACCTTGCTGAAGTATTTCTTTCGACACTATGAGTGCTGCCTGAGCTATACTAAGAATGAAACCTGGTGAGAAATGCAGGGCTTCAGAGTCAGCTAAGAGATGCCATTAATTCACCATCATACAGTGCTGAAAGCGAGCCACTGGGCTTTCATGGAGCCGCAGTAAGTTACGGCACTGGAGAGAAACATCAGTCCTTAGTTTTACTGACCTCAGATGTCAACAAAGCAAATTCTACCTTTAAGTCTTAAAGGCAAGGGGAGATATAGCACGTTCTACATTACACATGCACACACACAAGTCCGTAATGTTTACATATATCCATGGTATATATGGGACTGAAGATTAAAAGTGAACTGCATTAATCCACTGGTATCTTTGAAAGCATTCCTAATGGTGAGAACATTGTAGAATACTTCTACAGCTGACCTCCCTGAAGACAAGCCTTTGGCTTGCTGTAGGTCTGATCCTGCAACGCTCAATTCAATGACAGCTTTGCCCTCAATGTAAGTTCTGAAGGGTTGGGAGGCAAGCTCAACCTATGCAAGGTGGAATGCAATACTGCTGACTAGCGAGCAGTGCCACAGGACAGTTTTTAAAAGCTCTTTTTTTTTTTTTAAAAAAAAGACATGTTAGAAGAACATTAAAGTTCTGAAATGAGGTGTGCCTGAAGCAGGGATGCAGGCATGACCAAAGCAAGCATGCAACCTGCAATTGTAGAGCAGTCTTGTCTACAAAACGGACTCCAGTTCTGTAGCAATGGATTCACTCATGTAAGGGTTCACTTTTTGCTTTGCATGCTCCAATAAGCTAACCCAAGCTATTCTTACCCACAGAACCCCTCCACGGACATGTCCCACAAACCCCAAAATCTCTCCACTATGCAATGACGAAGTGTCAACATCGCATTTTGAGCAAGAAAAAAGAAGATTAAATCCGTTACTGTGAACTTAAGTCAAATCTTAACCCTACTTTTGACATTTTAAGCCAACTTCTGTGCAATAACACAGGATTTCCAGACAATTATCTGTCACCAAGTGTAGCAGTGCAGTTCAGCACAGGAGTGTATCACATACAACTTCTTACCAGTAAAACACACTGACACCACTTAAGACACAAGAGCACAGTGCCATGCACCACAGTCTCTTCTCTGCTGAGTAACTGGACATACCAAACAGGCTTGGCACAGTCAGCCTTGGCATACGGACTAAATCAGATCTTTCCAGGAAACAGAGTTCATTACGTATGAACTTGTAAGTACACTTCTTACCACTTCCAAACTGCCATGGAAAATACAGTACTTAACAAAAGAGTGACTGAAGGCAAAAAAAAAAAAAGGGCAGCTAGAGGTTGTTTTGCCAAACCAACTACTCTAGGCTGTTACCGCCTCACAGGGGTCACAGGGGATCTCACAAAAGAGGATGCCTGGGACAACACTGCAAGCTTTTATGTATGGTCTTGGCAGCTAGATACAGCTGGCAGGACTTTGGATGGGAACCTGTGCTCTGATCACAAGTTTTTAAAATATTTACTTTGCAACCTCTCTCTGTACCGTGTTTCTCCTCCTTTTGATGTTCAAATGGAAGAGATGTAGTGGAATCACACTGCGGTGCTTCTGCACAGTCATGCAACACCCATTCAAAACCAAGACGCAATACAGCATTTTGCAGTTCCGGTGCACTCAAACCCTTCAGTCTCATCTTCATTATTTTGTATTCTGCAGTACTTCTAAACAGATTTGGTATTGAACAGAAAGCTATCTATAGGAATGAAAGCAATTTTAGGATTGCTTTATAAGAAATAGGGTTAAAAATAATTTAATGCTTCTAACATTTATCTTCTTTTTGCAATTTCATCTGCTCTTGCAATGCAGAGCTGACCAAACCATCCCAAAATAGCCTGTTTTCCACATCTCATTTTAGGTATTTTAAGCAGAGAAGATTACATTCAATTCGGCCTTAGCTCACTTGCTACCAGCATCTTTGAAGACTAGACCTATACATTGGAGAAAAAAAAACCATAATACCTCTAGAACTGGTCCACACAGTAGCTTTTGTGGCATTTTAACTGCCTTTCTCAATTAAAGCAGAACAACCCCTTAAAATGGGACCTAACTCCACTGCTATAATAAGCTTATGAATTAGGTACATAGGACTGACAAAACCACTTAAGGAAAGCTGAGCTTTTAGCTTGATTTTACTTAGACACACAATGGAAATCCCAGTACCTTACAGCTTTATTCCATCTGATGAATCAAGGATACATTCATCTAACCATTCCAAGTGCTGTTACACTATTTGTCCGCAACTTCCCATCCTGGATCCATCTGGCTCTTCAAGTGTTAACTTTCAGACAGCTGCTCTGATGTCTTTCCTCATCTCAGAAAGTCCAGCATCACAGCAGCATCACTAAGATTTAGCCACAGATTCTGCTCTCTTTTGCTCAATATTTCCAGGATTAAGACATCTTCAGAAGAGGATCCTCCCTTCCCCTTCTCTCACACATTTTCTTACTTGTGATTAGCTCCACTAATGCTTGATACAGATACACCATCAACAGGACCTACATCATGTCGTATCATAAGGATGTAGGAGACCCCCAACAAGAATCACTATGGCCTTAGAGTGCATACAAAAGGAACACTGCAAGAACTAGAAATATGGCAGTGCTGAGAGCAAGAATCTTGAGGACATCCAAGGAACAAGTCAACACCGAAGAGCCAGCCAGTAATGCAAGATCTACAAATACCAATATCCAGTATTTCTTGGATGAATTTGCCATTGATAGGATCTAGGTCCATCTAAGCAGTCTTGAGAGCACGGAGGCCAGTGAGCTAGGACTCTTAACCAGCTAAGACCTCATGCAGCCCATTGGCAATACTGACAGTTGCTCCACATCCAGAGAGTCTCAGATTACGTCCCTTCCTGCATAAGGTCTTGCCTGATATCACCACCAACCTCCCTGTTTGGGACAAGCCTTTCTTCTGCTGGCATCTAACCCCTACAGGTTGCAGCACCTACACATCATCCACAGCAGACTTGTAAGACAACGTAACATTGGCAAAACATTCCCAAACTGCAGGAAATACCAGCAACACTGTCCAATATTTCACGGCTGAGTCTTTGCATCAGAGACTGTGGGCTAAAGGATGACCGCTTGGTACATTTCTTCTGTACCTGCCAGCTATGCTAGCTTGGATGCTTGCAATTTAGGCTCAAACAGCAGCTGACTATCCATCTCGCATGAGGAGACAGCAAAAAGTTAGGTAGGGGTGCTTGGGGACCTTCTTCAAGCAGTGCACTTGAGCTATGGAGAACTAATCAGTCTGGACAATAACGGAGCGATGCTTTGAACCTGAAAGCAGCCCCAAAACTGTGCTCAGAGGCTTGCTGGCTAAGGTTTTGCTGCCATCAACACCCACCGGGAAACACAACTCCTTTGTAATGGTATGCACAATATAGTTCCCTGGGAATGCCACCTCCCCACACACTTCCCCTTAACCAATTCCTGTCAAATGCCACTGACTCCAGAAATCTATTTACCAGTATACAACAGCTGCTGGAGAGCAACATAAACTGGAATCAGCGAAGTATAGGCAGTAGCAACCTCTGCTTCTCCTTACCCAGAGACAGATGGCAGAACAAATCTTTTCTTCATAGGCCGAGTTGCTTCAACTATCCAGTGCCAATGCAGGACTGACGGCCTTACACTAGATGTCTCCAGGGTTTGTGCATCTCTTCTCCAGGACTCCTCTGACAAAGGGCTGAGGAAATCCCAGAAGTCCTCATGAAACACACCTGTAAGCATTTTGAGTTTGGCAAGGAAGGAAGGTTTTCTGTTTTACCTGTTAAGATTGTGTTTTTAGATAAGTTTGTGATGACCGTGTCTCTTTGCTTCTACCAGTTATGCTTTCCTGGATTTGGTCTACTAATACACATTTTCATGAAGTAACTTTTCTCCTCCTTTCGTTTGGTATCCACAAAGCTCAGAGCAGCAGTTACCTTCCCCTCTCAGTAGTTTACAGTTGCAAGGTTAAATGTCACTCCTGCATCTAGTCTCTGAAACCCCTCAGGATTTACCATAACATCGGTTACATCTGATGGCACTTTGCTGGAGTGTGATATTCAACTGAGCATAGTTAAGTTTCCTTCCAAATATCTTACTGGTTATCTCATCTCCCATGTACATATGCAATACCTAGTTGTTGGGCCAGTTCAGAAGGACCAGAACAGCACAATGGGGCATGAAAAATATTAAAGGGAAGAAAGCACTGGCAGCTTCCAGCTGCTGTTCTGTCTCTTGCACCTGCAGAACTAGACACCAAAGACTTACTGGGAGTCTGCCTATGGGGTGCTTTCTACCTTGCTTACAGCCACACGCACCAGCTGTACACTAGCCTATGCCAAACTCTACAGCAGCAGATTTGTGACAAATGGAGTTAATTACAAGTCTCTCTAAGGATAAATTCAGAGAGGGGAAAATCTCTGGAGAAGCATCATATACAAAAAAACCATCTCCGAGTGCAGGATATCCTGAGCTGCAGACTGACCAAAGCTGGGATAGTACCTTGAGGAAGTACTGCTACTTTCTTGTACTTTTCTTCCTCCATTTCCTAGGCGCTGGCTATCGGCCACTGATGGAAACAGGGCACTGCAGAGACAGATCCTTTGCTTGACCCAGTATAGCTATTCTCACGTTCCTCTACAGTTGAAAGGATCCTTACTTCAACAGTCTCAGTTCAGGATATCACCACACCAATCCCTATGTCAACAGTCTTTCTCTGCCTGAAGCCTTCTTGACAATCCTCTCCTCCTACACCTTTAATACAACCCTGGCCTAGCCAGCCACTATTTCACTCTAGTGGAATCTGCAGCTGTTCTGAAGGACAGGTGATCTTTGGCTATCCCCTCCTCTGGCAGGTCTTGGGCATCAGGCTTTAGCAAACTGCATGCTACCCCAAGCTGATCATCATAGCCAGCTGAGCAGGACCACCACTCTTTCACAGACAAGGAATAAGAAGTAGCTAGAGCCAGGAATAGAAGCCCATACACACTCCTGGCAGTTATTCCAGACTGAACGAGTGGCAATGAAATTGCACAGGGACACTTGGTTATCCCCAAGAGAAATCTTTAGTCTCCATACCTGGAATTAACTTGCAAATTCACAATAACCTGGATGCATGCAACACTTCATGGGGCTAATTATCTGCACTGGTTTACCTGGCCATGTGGCAAGGCTGACTGGGTAAAAGCATGCTGTATCTGTACAGCTATAACCACTCTAGGAGATTAAACCAATTTAACTATTTTAACATAAAGGGTATAAACTGCATCCCTAGCAGAAATACTGGGTAAAATACACAAAAAACCCAAAACTTGTTTAGAAAATATAAAGGATTAACTTTTTTCAGCAAGACACTATTTTAATCTCTTCAAAGCTACTAAAACAAACATAGCCAAGAACTTCATTAACAGTGCAGGCTTATCTTTTACTACTGTTGGTGGAAGAAGCCAAACCTTATCTACAAATGAGCATAATGCAGTCAACTGGTGAGCTACTTGTGTGAACATCCCTAGATCCGACAGCTTCTTATCAAAGTCATATACATTAAGACGAATGAGTCTTCTCAGCATGTTATTACGTCTTTAATTACAATTACATGCACTACATTCCATGATAATCTAGCTGTAAAAACTGAAATACTGCATTGAAGAATTAATACTGTATCTCACTTAAGATTTAAATACTGTGATTCTTTTCCCACTTGCTATACAAATTAGCCCCAGGGTTTTAGGGGTTTTTTTTGGTATTAAAAAATACCTCCTTCCAAAACCAGATTATACTTTGAGTTAATTTTTGGCTGCAATTTACACATGGATTCTCTACTAAAGGATCACTTAACTATTTTTATTATTTTAAGGGTTTAGGTTTCTTTGGCAGGCTATGAATTCTTTTAACTTAAACAGAATCTAACCCAGTAACATGTGGCCAGTATGTAAGTACATGCACACTGAAGCTACCCAGTATTTCAAAGACTCACAAGGTTCCAATCCAGTTCCACCTATTATAAGGAAATACTATTACAGAAGCTACTCCCGGTTTTCCAATTGCTTTGAGTTCAACACATTCACTCAAGCAATTTCATGCAGGCAGAATTTACTTCCAACTTCTTTCTTATCTGGACTCAAATTTTTGCGCAGACAAATTAATACCTGGATGAAGACAATTATTTAAACATGAAGCAAATTAAAAGGTAGAGAATTCTGTCACAGATTAAATGTAAAATTTATTTGGCATTGGCATTCATTTCCTCTTGGCACAACTTACCAACCCATAGCTCCCATTGTTTCAGCTCTGGTTCTCCCACGTTTTGCTTCTTTAAGTAACTCTTCCACAGCCTTCCTAAATATGAGGAAAAGAAAAAAGTTACCACTCGCAGAACACAAGAACTTGCCACTTTATGCACTTATGTAAATAAAGTGGAGAGCTTCTCCACTGTAATGAATTAAGCAATAAAGAGGCTACCAAAATCACCCTGACTTTCTTATTAAGAAAATTCAGATTCATATGCACCAAGATTAAAAGAAACATTTTGACATATTAAAAGCAATTAAAGCTGTTGCAAATACAACAATCGCAATACTAACTGAAGAGTAGAAATAAAGTGTGCAAAACTGGTGTACTGCAGTGAAAAGCACAGTCCCTATCACTTCACCTTGGGTTCTTCCTAAAGTCTTTCAACCACAGCAGACCTATTTTGAGCACAGTTAAACACCAGTAAAATAGCAAGCAATCAGATGACAGTAGAATCACTGCAACTACAGTTGTCAAACTGCACTAGCTTTGTGTAAGAGTGGAAGTAAAGAGCTCATCTTTGTAACTATGATCCACTGCCATCCAAAATGACCAACCTTTACATGATCAGCATCTTCTAGAACTAACTGGCCAGACTAAAGCAATTAAATAACTATGCTCACATAAAAAGTCATTAGAGAGTATAAATTATGCAAATTATAGATAACTCCTGCAATGTCAGTCTTTCAGTTCTCCTTACAAATTAATTTCAATCTCAAATAAAACTTAAGTAACTGCTCTACAGTACATGGTTGAAGTTAATGGGAAAACCAATGAATGGATAATGTGAGCCATTTATTACATACATTGAATGCATAAACTAACAATTTGGTTAGTTACCTGTAAGCAACTATATATGTCAATCAAAAATAACTGCAAGACAGAAAAGTAAAGCTATGTACCTGGCTGTAATACCCAGTATATGAAGCTAAGCATTAACAACACTGACATGGGTAAGACTGAAGGCTTGAGAAACTGAAGGTAGGAGGTAATAAAGAGGGTATTTATTGTTTAGCTCTCCTAGCTATGATGTGCCAGAATGGCTGCTGGTGTTTGGACTAAGTGAGCAAAACAATCATCACCTTGATAGTATATGTGTGTGTGTAGACTGTGCAAAAAAAGTAGCTGCCAACAGATTTCAACTCAAACGTCAAGAAAGCCATGTCCCATCATGTTGTTATGGTATTATCAGCACAGCAGGATTTTGCTGCTTTGCCACAGATTAAAAAAACCTCGAGTACCTTATCAAGCCAAAAGTGAAACTAGTGAAGTCAAGAGACTTCATCTAATAGCAGAAGCAGGTCTGAGAAGAAAACCAAGCAATTTATATGGCAGGTCCATGAGAAGATCTAACCAGTTAATGCTCGGCTCTAAACTTCTAACAGAGTAGTTTATTACAATTTAGGTTATTAAAGCCTACATAGAAAACACAAGAGGTCTTAGCTTTAAATGTAGACACTGCACATGCATAACAGGGAATGAAAATAAGCAGTACAGAATTTCCTTCAGTAGCTAATGAGAAAACATTCTGCAGTTACACAGCAGCCTACATCTGTCAGTCTAGATCTAACCTTCTTCAGTTTGTTATGGTCTTAACATAAGCCTTTACTGGCTCCCTTCACATTTGTGATCATGGATTCATGCATTCATTGCTTTGGTTTTCCCTGGCAACAGAAAACAAGTTGGTGCTAAGTAAGTACAAGTCCAATGTACACCAAGGTGTAGCTACTCTTTCTACAGTTAGTCTGCAGTTCTGCTTGAATATAGTGTTCATATTTTATACTGACAACCAGCTATCACAGAACTACTTCATCAGCTTATAGTAATTTCCAGCAAGCAATATTTTAGCTAAAGATTCCTAAACAAGCCTCCAGAATTGGTCACAAGTTTTTGAACAACATATAAATAAACCTTGGTCAACATATTTATATATATGTCATTGTTCCAAGGGGAAACCTTTCCATCCAGCAAAAGCTCCTATCTGTGGCAGATAGACATGCAAATACTCACAGGTCATAACTTTTTCCTTTGAGAGTTTGCATTTGAAGGGCTTTGCAAAGGAAAGTGTCCAAGACTTCTACAGAAACAATAGTAGAGAAACACACCAAAAATTGCAGTATTGCTTCCCCGTGCACTAGCCTATTAATGGCACATTGGTTTAAGGTTCCTCACAAAAGTCTCTCTCTCTCTTGTATATTAATATGATCTCAGCAGCAGCTGGGCTTGGAGTACTTCAAATCTGGTTTTAAGCACACATCCGACTGCAAGGACATGTTGCATACCCAGTCATATCACAGGCATTTATAGAAACTGAGTATCTGGCCAGGTAAGCTGTCACCTGTTCAAGTTACCTGCACCTAGATGCTAAGTACAGCATCAGCAACCTCGCCAGCTACTGCTCCTAGGAGCAATGCGGGGTGTGGGACAGCTACTTCCCAAGAACAAAAAAAAGAAGGTAAGAAACACAGGCTCTACCACTGAAACATGGGAGATGTTGCATACATGGGTCTCCATGAAATTATGGCAAAATTTATTTTTTATTCCAGACCCAGAATTTGCTATCTGAGCAGCCTGAGCTAGTTTATAGTGATGACAGCAAGAACATGTGGCCTTTATAGAAGCTTGTCCTGAGCCTTCAAACAACAATGTCAGATGAAGGGGAGGAAAGAGGAGGAGGAAAAAAAAAAAAAAAAAGAGTCTGACTTTACTTATGACAGTTACCAAACTTAGTGATTCTGTTTTGAGAAACCTGACTAGGAGGCAGATTAAAAGCCACTATATCTGTCATTATTTTATAATCAAAATCATAAACCAAAGCATCTGAGCTACAAAGCACTAATAAGACACATACACATACATATCTTAAACAGCTACGATTCAGTTTTAGGGGAAGCATCACAGTGTTAATATTGGTGTTAGTACACCAATTCTATTAACTTAGGTAGGAATTATAAGCCATTAAGTATTTGAGACTTTTTTTTCCCTCTTGTTACATCAAAGATATCAGACTAACTTGGCATCCATCTTCGCAGCCTTATAAGTCGACATCTTCCTCTCTTATCAAACCTTGTTTCCTAATATTGGCCTTTCAACATCACTCTTAATTCACTGCACCTTTACAAAGCCCTTTTGACTTGCACAGACAAACAAAAAATGCTCAGATCCTCTTCGAAATAATGTGTTTCCACTCACTGAACTTATATCCTCAACAGAAGTAAGCCAAAAGCTTAAAAGCTATGCAAACAAGGTTTTTACATTTGCTTTTAGAGGCCTCTTGGGACTCAGCATTCCTTGCTCTCTTCATTTTTACAGCTTGGTTACAATACAAACAGTCCTGTGGCTGCCAGCTTCAACTCCAAGAGCAGCAGCATGAGCAGGAGCACGCAACATTCACATGAGGACAACTCAAACACTGGGGATTGATAGGAGGGAAAATTAGGGACAGGGGCACATTTAAGAACACGTCATCATTCTGGCATCTTTTATAGCAAGCACCACTTAAAACTTGCTGTGGCAATCCTTTTTGAGCAATCAAGCCTAGCTGCAGAGTTACAGCAACATAAAGGTATAAGCAGTCGTGTGTGTTTTTATCTTCAAGAGTATGGTCCAAGACCTATTTACATTTCTGAGTGATTAGACTTTTTCCTCTGTATTCCAAGGTTACAGGCAAAGCTCCCGTTGCATAAATCCTAACAACTTGCATCACAAGTGCATGTGCCCAAAGAATGGGAGAATGTTAAAGGCTCCAAAGTCAGGCAAAACCAGAGATATTTTCTATTCTGCTTCACCATTTTTTCTGAAAGATCAAACAGGTAGACTGAAAAATGAACAATTGGTAATGAAGAGGTATGCCTGATACAGTTACACGCAATGAAAACACCATGTCATTACAGAGACCACCTAATGATTGTAATTATAGACCACTCTGTTAGGAGAAAATATATCACACGCTGGATCTGACAGCTGAGAGAGAGGTGAGGCAGCCGCAGCTCTATGCCCCCCAGGTCCAACCAGTAGCAAGGCTGAAAATCTACTCCCAGCAGGCAGACGCACACACCGCAGGTATACACCACTGGCCACACTGATCACAGACAGACACAGAGAGCGCTCGCACCAACAGCTTCATCCCGCTCCTCTCTCTGGCTGGGTGTAGGAGCCCCCGAGGCTTCAGTCCAAATCCAGTTGCTGGCTCAGACTGTCCCACAGAGCCGGCCAGGACTCCACTGGTCCCACAGTACCCAACCCCACTGCGGTCTTGCCCACGCATACACACGTCTCACCCCTGGAGAGCCCCTGACCCTACAGTCTCTCCAGCAGCTGGCCAGGACTCCCCGCAGCCTCCAACAGCTAACTCCTCCCATGGTCTTGCTCTTAGAGATACACACTCACCTCCCAGCTCCCACCTTATTCACACTCACCAGCTGATCCAGCTTGATCTTCACTAGCAGCCACACACCCCCCTCACACCCCCACACTTGCTCCAGTACCGCAGCACAGATAAATGGCTCCCCAGTCCCACTCCAGCGGCTGACACTTGGTTTTACTCACTCCATGAAGTGTCTGCAGTTGCTGGTGCCCAGCCTGCCAGCCCAGGGTCCCAGCCCAACTGCTGGCATCCAGACCTGCACTTGTTCCAGTTGCTGACACCACGGACACGTGGTCCCTCTGACCCATGGTTTGACATTAGTTGCTAGCGCTGAGATGCACACCCTCTCCCCTCAAACAGAGTCCCTCCCCCAAGAAAGAGTTAGAAAGGAATTTAACAGGAAGACAGGACAGGCTGTGCTGACGTGGCACTCTGGGACATAGAATCATAGAATCGTTTAGGTTGGAAAAGACCTTTAAGATCATCCAGTCCAACCATTAACCTACACTACCAAGCCCACCTAAACCCATCAAGGGCAGACTAGACTAAACCATGTGTTCAAAAAACGGGTAGATGTGGCACTTCGGGATATGGTTTAGTCTAGTCTGCCCTTGATGGGTTTAGGTGGGCTTGGTAGTGTAGGTTAATGGTTGGACTGGATGATCTTAAAGGTCTTTTCCAA